CACCTTTATATTCTCTCTCACCACCCCACACGTGGGTTATACCCACCAACCCCATCTACCCTCTTTTCTCTCTCCTTCGCTCTCTCTTCTCTCTCCTGGCCCACCCTTCCACTCCGGGCTCCGTGCCCGGCTTCACCCTCACACACAGAACGCGCGGCTCCTCTCACATCCTCGAACCGTGCGGCTTCGTCTACTGGTTCCGCAACAATTTCTCTGGATAAACCAGATCGCATGCAATCGGTACGCGCGGTTTCTTTCTCCGGTGCAATTTTTTTACCGGAACTCGATCCAATTACCTTCCCTACGGTTCCAAATGTCATCTCGATTTCTACAATCGACTTTCGCAGGATAATTTTCAACTGTTTCGCCTTCCCTGCTTGGGACATATAAATTATTTTATCTGCTGATCTTCTCCGACAGGGAATATATTCTTTTTTACAACGGAGTATATGGAGCAAAATAAAAGAGAGAGAAATATAAAATAATAAATTTTATTACTCACCCATCTTTATTCGACGTGAATCTTGATACTCCTCTCTACTGATTTCACAAGAAATTACTTACTACAAGGCACTAATTTATATTTAAGCACTTTAAATATAAATCCACCCACCAATCCGGGCCACACAATAATAATAAAAATTTATTATTATCCCTACGTCACTGACACAAACAAGAAGATCGAAATACAATTCTACTCTCGACACGATCCGGCACCTCTCCCCGATTCACTCCCACATCGATTCGAGAGTGGGGGGCTTAATGATATGCCTATTGGCCCAGTTCAATAGACTCATATTTACTGGGCCACAAACCCAACTTAATAGCAACTTCTACGAAGGCCTAATCACAACCAAAGAAAGTTGGGCCCGATAAATTGATCTCAGCCCAATCAATAAAGTATAAATAGAACTTAAATTCATTTAATGAAGGTACGCATTTTTAATCAATCACTTTTTCTACAAAAATTCTCTCAGCTATTATTGATTATCCGCATGTCTGACTTGAGTGTCGGAGGGGTTTCCGCCGGATCAACCCCGGCTTAGATTACGTGTTTTCTGTTCGCAGGATCATTGAGTTAATTAAAGTTTTCAGGACTATCTAGCTCGTGAGCACGTGACCTACTTTGCTCTCCCAGCTTCAACATTCCAGGTGATTTATTTCTTACATCATATATATATATATATATATATATATATATATATATATATATATATATATATATATATATATATATATAGAGATACTATTTGCAGCGGGACTTTTATTGAAATTGGCTTATTTGCAGCGGTACCTTTTTCATTTAATTGGTTTTTCAATTTCTCTCTCCTATTCCCAAACACTCTCTAGAAATTCGAATTTCGTAAAATTTTTCGACATTCAAACCGTTCAAACGAGGCTTGATTCTGGTAAATTTTCGATATCCTACTACTTTTAATTTTTGTTTTTTTTTTCAATTTAGGTAAAAACACATGTTTAGGATTAGTTCTAGCAAAATTTCTCGAAAAAAAAAAAATTGCAGCTCCCGGGTTATGGAGCACGGAAACTCGAAGAACATTCAAGTTTCCGTGCTCCAGAACACGGGAGCTGCAAATTTAAAAAAAAAAAAATTTATTGTTCTCATAGAACACGGGAATTTGATGATTTTCCAACTTCCCGTGTTCTGCAGGACGGGGAATTCAAAAAAAATCATTTTCCCGTTCTGCAGAGCAAGGGAACGTGAAGAATCTTCAAGCTCCCGTGTTCTGCATAACGGGAGAATCAAATTTTTTTTTTTTATATTACTTTATTTAATTAGTTTGTTTATCTTTTAGAGATGGCACGTTAGGACAAGGGGAAAGGTCATATGGGTGCTTCTTCGAGTTCAGATAATGTTCCGAAAATTAAGTTTCAGTATGGCGGGGAAGCCGCGACGGAAGCCGAGGCGGAAGCGGAGCGCATTGGTATGACTCCATCTCACCGTCGTAGGAGAGTTATGGAGCGCGGCACTGATTTACCCATCGTGGACAAGATTCCCCACATAGAACATAGTTCTAGATCTATGGCGGGTAGCATTCGATCCTTAGGGGCAGATTCTCGTATCCCCTACGAGGGACACGAGGAGGAGCAGGACCATGTTGGGAGCGATTTTGATGATGTTCCCGTCCCGGCTGCGCGCGCACGGAAGTCTCGGTACGAGTTCGACACTTTTAGTGGCCCACTTGTGTTACATGGTCCAAGTCCAGGAGGAACGACTCATTGGAGTATGATTCCTAGTTTCAAGAGTCATATTGCCTACTACATTTGGGCAGGACATGTAAGTGTAAATATATTTATTTTAATATATTTTAAATATATTTATTTTAATATACTTTTTCTAATTAAATTAGAAATTCTACAGGAGCGCAGCGTCGGGCGATGTGAGTCGAGGATTACTGCGCTTAATGATTTTAAGAAACATGAGCTGAAGCAACACATGGATCCTTCGGGCAGTATGAGTTAGAGCTACTGGAGGCATCTGGCCTAGACTCACTCGAGCACTTCTACATCAAAAATGTAGACAAGGGACTCATGGGGGCATTTATATAGAGGTGACAGCCGGAAACGAACAGTTTTCACATGCCTTGGGGTGAGATGACGATCACCCTACATGATGTCGCATTTATTTTGGGGTTGCGTGATGACGGTCTAGTAGTGCACGGTGATTCTGTTGAGGACCAAGCCTATTTGTAAGTTGTTACTAGCGAGAGTTCTTGATTTGGACATGGTCGAGGGCGCATGCCAGGTTCGTTAATAGTGGGATAAAATGGTCGGAGTTTGTTCAGCGTGTGCGCAGTCGGTCCCGATCTTGTCGGCAGAAGGTGGTAGGATATTGACGTTTTTGATCGGTATGGCTTTATTCCCCGACCGGAGTATAGATAGGTTCAAGCCAACGTGGATGAGATATTCTTCCGATCTCGAGCACGTCGGCGAGTATGCTTGGGGTGCAGGTGTCTTGGCTCATTTATACCGGCAGTTGGGCTTGACTAGTAGAGCCCGCGTGAAGGGGTTACAGGGGTTGCACGTTACTGCTCCAGGTATTCAAGTTGTATTTAATATAATATATTGTAATTTAATATAATATATTGTTATTTAATATAATATACAGTAATTTAATATAATATATTATAGTCAATATATTATGTTAATAATATAGTATTAATTAGTATAACGTAGGTACTCATATAATATAATCTAGTCTAATACTACATTAATTTAATATAATATATTGTAATTTAATATAATATTAATCTAATATAGTCTCGTTTATTTTTAGTGCTGGATTTATGAGTATTTTCGCCCTTTGCGAGCACCTATTAATCCGGATTATAGGGAGATGCAGCCTCGTTTCCTGATATGAAAACCACGCAAGGGTATTTCGGACTTGTTCTCGGTCCGAAGGATGCTTGATGATATGCAGGCCGATAATGTATGTATTTTAATTGTTGAATTTATTTATTATTAATTATTACGTAAATTTAATTTTTATTACGTTAATCTAATTTTCCAGATTGACTGGATGCCTTACGGTCCGCACGTACATAGACGCGTTCTGCGTACACTATATTATGGGTGCATACAGTTTATGGAGATTATCGAGCCATATTTACCGGATCGCGTCCTTCGGCAGTTTGGCTTTAGACAGACCATACCGCAGTGCTACATTCAGTCTAGAGAGTCGTGCCTACGTGGTCCGCTTGGAGGGCAGACATACCAGGTACGGTACGATCCGCTTGGCGAGGAGTGGATGGACCTGGCTGGCAGCTCGATTACATTGGACGGTAGGACATTAGCCTGGCCGCCGTCCGATACTGCTTCTCGGTACATGGACTGGTACGTTCCTCGTACGCATCAGTACATCATCAATCGGGATCCTGCGCCACAAGGCCCACCGCCAGTCGTACACCCCCCCTCCTATTCAGCCGGACTTCTATGACATAGTGCGTATCATCCATCCGCACATGCATACGATACCCGAGCATCTACGTGTGCGGTTACAACCTCGTGTGGAGCCACACACACGTTTTCTAGGTTTATCGCCCTCTCAGACTGGAGATTCCGACGACGACGACTTTATGGAGATGCCACCACCGCGTCGGCGACCGGGTGGGACGAGTGGCACCTCGAGGAGGTCTAGGGGTAGACAGTAGACGATCGTTCCATTTGTTTGACATTTATTTGTTTTTTGTGACATTTGTCTATGTTTTGGACTTACTTTATTGTTTTCAGTTATTCTTGTTTGACTATTATTTATGTTATTTTTGTTTGACTATTTATGTTATTTTTTTTGACTATCCTAGGTTCAAATACATACCAAAATAAAATAATACAAGGTTCAAATACATACCAACTAAAATAAAATAATACAAGGTTCAAATACATACCAACAAAAAAAAATACAAGGTTCAAATATAATAATAGTCCAAAATAAAATAATAGAAGGTTCAAATACATACCAACTAAAATAAAATAATACAAGGTTCAAATACATACAACCAAAAAAAAAATAATACAAGGTTCAAATATAATACTAGGTTCAAATACGTACCAACTAAAATAAAATGTCTATCTCAACCTAGATAAACGACGCCACATGTATAGGTGTTCTTCGAACATTTCCGACAAGTGGGCAAGATTTGCGGCTCTAACAGTTCGCCACTGTGGAGTGATAGGTGGTAGAGGACAATTAACCGGTAACTGGATAAGGACAAAATGGTTTCCTAACAACACCATATGGATCATATGCGATAATTCACCCGGACCTACTAGAGGTAAGTAGGTTATACTTCCGCCAACGGTGTATAAGACCAAAGCCGCATGGTATTTAGTCGCTATCGACATTCTCATATCCGGAAATGACATCCATTTGTCCTGACTACACGGTCCTTCTTGCCAATCGCATCTTGTAATCCATCGGATTACTTCATCTTGACCATTTTGCGATGCGTACGTACCAAATCGCTCGTACATATCGGCAATCAAATCTCTCATCACACGACTCCATCTGTGCTGATCTCGAAACACTGCTTCTGCAACACATCTGTATCCACAATTTTCATTTGCTATAACATTAACATACGACACAATAGATCCTGCCACAAAACCTGGGATGTAAGATCTGAAATTGAGCTCATCGCCCGGTTCCCTTCGAGGCATCGGCATACGATTCTGATTGGCAGTGGATTCATCACTTGATCTACCACTCCCTCGACCCCGCCCTCGTCCACGACCAGAGTCGGGATCGGTAACTTTCGATGGTGGGGTTCCGGTAGAAGTACTTTTTCGACCCTTAGAACCTGCAGACGATTTACCCTTTTCTTCATCAGTAGACGACTTCCGCGGGAATGTTGGATACTCCCAACCAAATTTATCTCTCTTCGGTTTATCCTTTGACCTTCCTTTCGGTTTAACATATGCAGGCTCTGCCAAGTGGATGGTGTCTGGATGAATAGTGCTATTCATGTAATCAGCAGTCATCTTTTGAGTCATGTAATCTTTTCCTAACACTTCGGTGGCTAATTTGATTATCCGGTCTCTCATAATTGTTTCACGATCCACCTGTGATTCAGGTATTTCTGGTTCTTCAACGTGCATGGTACTCCAAAATGGATGTAGATCCATACATATAAATGTATCACGTTGCTGGATTGTCAACGCAATTTGGCATGCACATGGAAGTGCATGAGTAACCCACAGAACGTGATCACAAAAAGATGGGTCTTGAAACCCAGGTTTATTGAGCTCATCATCAAGCAAATTTAATGCTTTATGAGTGACTTTGCATATCAAACCCTGAAATACTGGATACGATGATTTATGTAACCGGATTAAACTGCATTTTGAAAACTCACCCTTGATCTTGGTAAGTTGATACTCGACCCCGGAGTCGAGCTGATATTGAATGGTGTTCAAAGCACCGGTAGAAGCACTAATCCAACCCTTCAACGATTTATGAGCACTTTCCACCCTGTTAATAGCCATTAAAATAACAACTAATAATTAAAAACGCCCACAATATAATATTAAATACAAGACGGCAATGAAACCGAAAATACCTAGATGTCGACGTGTTCCCAAAATGCAAAATCTTATTGGTCCATGCTTTGACGAATTTGTGCTTGAATATTAGCCAAGTATCGTTAAGGTATGATATCAATTTGAGGTAACAACCATACCGTCTAACCATTTCCTCGTAATTTTCATGGTAATCTTCTTCTGTTTTTTATTCCACTAGTTTTGCCCAATGTATGCGCCGGAATATAAGCCCGTGTTGAGTACTACCAATAAATCTCGATGCATTTTTTTCCACGTTTCTGTTGATGTGAAACAAACACAAGAAATGTGCGGAATCTGGAAATATTAGGGGCATGGCTTTAATGATTCCCAATTCACGATCTGTCAATATCACATTAGGTACCTGCCCCCCCAATGCACATTTCAAACAACCCAAAGCCCATTCATATGTGTGTGTATCTTCATGTGACATGAAAGCAACAGCAATTGTAAAATTGTAACCAACAGGAGTGATTCCAATTATTTCCATAAGTGGCATCTCATACCTACGTAAATACAAAAATATCAAATGCAATCAATGTACAATAGCACAATACTAAATACTAATTAACAACATACCTATTGGTTTTGTAAGTGCAGTCAATCAATATAACATGAGAGAATAACCGCAAAAGTTTCAGTGAAATAGGAGCAGCGAACATCAAATCAGTAAGTGTATCATCAGCTTCATTACTTCGATACCAATATTCATATCCACATTCTTGAAGGTTCGACATCACGTGTTGTATCACAGTCTTCCCCGCCATATTCTCTTTTTTCATCTTCTCAAGTTGGTTGTAGACATGTTTCACACTCGTTGATGTCTGTGGATTATCCTTTCTCAATCGATCCATGATTAATGCCGCATTCACGTGGCTCCTTCTAAGTAACTTGTCCGGTAAGATACGGTAGCGTCGGGTGAGTGTGGGTGCCATTTTTTTTAAATTCATTCGCCATAATCCATCGTTTCGATTTTTGCTACAGTATATACGAAACGGACATCCACATTTCTTTGTTTCCACATTCCGTTGTTTCACACCTTCGGTTCGTTTTTCACGTCCCTTCCCAGACACATAACATCTAATTACTACATACACATTTTCCTGGCTTGAAGTTACTATCAATCGATGACCAAGAGTAGCAGCCAATTTTTTTGCCCACTCCACTAATTCATTCGCAGTTTCAAACTCAACACCCACATTGAAATATTGACTGTGATCCTTAGTAGTTGTTGGTGTGTCTTGAGGAACTTCGAAACACATGTTGGGATCCTTGTACTCGTTGTACTCTTTGTCATATTCAGTTCTAAACTCATCGTCAAAATCACATTCACTAGCCTATTAAGATAAAACAAATAAAAATTAGTACATAATAACAATATAAAAATTAAAAAAATAAATAAATTAGGGTTCCCGTGCCATGGAGGACGATTGTTCATGGTTCTCGTCCTCTAGGGCACGGGAACCACAAAGGTCCGTCCTCCACGGCAGGGGAACATGGTGTTCCCGTGTTCAACAGCACGTTTGATTTTTTTTTTTTTTGATGTTCCCGTGTTTTGCAGCACGGGAACCCCGAAAATTTGGGGTTCCCGTGCTACACAACACGATAGGCCTGACGAAAAATTTCAACTTCCACTACAATCTTCGATTTACCTCGTAAAAGTCATCAGAATCGGCCATAAGGTTATTTGTTGTCGTCGGGCAGTCGATTTATCAAATAAACACGAAAATTTGAATTCTCGACTTGTTTTAGTTGAGAGCGTTTTGAGTTTTTCAGAAAGTTGAAAAAGTTGAAATGAAAAGTACCGCTGCAAATAAGCCAATTTCAGTAAAAGTCCCGCTACAATTAGCATTTCAGATATATTTATAGTATACATGTATGCTATCAAGTAAAGGTCTATGTTGTATAGGATAGTTTAGGGTAGTGTATTATCACATTTAATTAATCAAATATACCATATAGTAGTGTAATTCACATAATTCACATTAATTTGTTAGAAAATAAGTCTACCAATTAAATATAGCACATAATTAAATTCACGTAAAATCTCATGTAAGGATTTTTTCTAGTTGGGGAAGATTTAAGTTCAGGTTTTAGGATTTTGGAAAGGTGGGGTGTTACACTCTCGATTCTCCGTAGATCAGCCACCTCCGCGGCGGCGACAATGGCGGAGGGTTTGGGCTCGAATACTCTATCAGCATACATTATTGGTAGTTATTCAGAAACAAAACAAAGGTATCTAATATTAAAATAAGCAATAAATTTTTGAGTGTGTTTGGATGGAGGGATTTGGAGTCATCTGAAATCCACACCAATTGTTCCAAAAACAACTAAAAATGAGGGGTATGGATTTGAAATTCATTCTCAAATCCTTCAAACCAAACAAGTCCAAGGGTATTATGGATTTAAATCCTTCCTCAAAATCCCTCCATCAAAATGTACCCTTAGCTTATCTCTCCAAATACGTTTTTCAGGCGGGGAAATGAAGCCGGTGGAGTGTGTGTCTATTTTTACCTCTTAGTGTGTCCTCGTATTTATAGGTGTTCCGGACTAGGGGTAGGGGGAGCGTCTATAATGTACAACTGGTTTAAGAGGAAGGTACTGATTTTTTTGTTTAATTCGACATTTGGCTACGGGTTGAGAATTCAGAAAAAATAAATAATAAACTACACATTTATGGATTTGGGGGCAGCGCCACCAAATATATTTTTTTGGGTTGATTTTGAATAAGCAACAATAAATATGTAAATTTTAAATAATATGACTTGATATATTAATATTTAAACTATTTAAGTCTAGAAATAATGTATTATTAGTGGGGTGTTTCATTTTCTGTGCGGCAAATATACTGCAATTTATAAAAATAAATTAAACCTAATAAAAAATTTCTGCAGGGGCGGCTGCCTCCAAGGCAATGCTTGGTACCTCCCCTGTTGTTACCCTTCCCTACCCATCCCCACATCCATTGGAGATGGTCAAAGGTGGAGGGGGTGGGTAAGGTTGACCCTATCAATCCTCTGCCTTTCATGCATGCATTTGATGTAAATGAATGACCTCACGTTTTCTCTTTTTTCCTTTTCCCTTTCTCGCTATCACTAGCAACGTTTTCTTTAATTTTCCGACAATTTTTGCCGGAATTCGAAACATGTGCATTAAAATACATTAAGGGTTAATGGCAAATAGGCTCATGACAAGGGCACTTAATTAAAAGAGGGATATCCAATTTTTTTGTCTTTCAAATAAATCCAACCCATTCAAACTTATTTGCAAATAAGGAAAATGCTTTCATATATACCAAAATTACCCCAAATTCATTGAAACCCAATTCAACTCCAATTTCATGATTTACACCCTAATTTAGCCCAATTTCATCAATTAACCAATTTTAACTCTAATTTCAATTTTGATCCCAATTTTAACCCTAATTCTTATCAATTCCACCCATTATGCTCTAACTTCCTTAATATTACACATTGACCCCGTATTTAAACAAATATATCACATTAACCTCCAAAACTTTTTTTTTGCAGAAAATAATTTTTTTTCTGAAATATTTTTTTTCCGGCCAGATTCCGGCGTTGACTTTTTTTTTTATAATTTTGTTTTTTCTGAAAAAAAAAATTTTTAATTAATTTTACTGTCTTGACTGCTAAATTACTGTCTCCGGCAGCTATTTAACTGTCTGAGACAGTAATTTAACTGTTAATTGACTCTTTTTTTTCAAATTTTTTTTAATTAAAATTACTGTATTTGTTGCTAAATTACAGCCTCCAGCAGTTATTTAACTGTCGGAGACAGTAATTTAACTGTTAATTGACTTATTATTCTTAAAAAAAATATTTTTAATTAATATTACTGTATTCGTTGCTAAATTACTGTCTCCGGCAGTTATTTAACTGTTGGAGACAGTGATTTAACTGTTAATTGACTTTTTTATTCTTAAAAAAATATTTTTAATTAATATTATTGTATTTGTTTGCTAAATTACTGTCTCCAGCAGTTATTTAACTATCATAGACGGTAAATTAACTGTTAATTGGTTTTTTTTCATTTTTTTTCTTAAAAAAAATATTTTAATTAATAGTACTGCCTTAGATGTTAAATTACTGTCTTCAACAGTAATTTAACTGTCTTAGACAATAATATTAATAATATTATTGTTCGGAAAAATAATATTCATAATATTATTGTTCGGAAAAAATAATATTCATAATATTACTGTACCAAACAGTAATATTACTGTCTGAGACAGTAATTTAGCAGTTAAAACAGTAATATTAATTAAAATATTTTTTTTCTAAGAAAAAAAAAAAAAATCAACGCCGGAAACCGGCGGTCTCCGGCGGTCGACGCCGGAATCCGGCCGGAAAAAAAACATTTCAGAAAAAAAATTATTTTCTGAAAAAAAAAAAAAGTTTTGGGGGTTAATGTGATATATTTGTTTAAATCCGAGGTCAATGTGTAATATTAAGGAAGTAAGAGCAGAATGGGTGGAATTGATAAGAATTATATTATTGAGGGTATTTTAGACTAAAGACATGGGGATGTACTTAATTGAGAGACTGTTTTTTTTGTGGACTAAAATGCATTTAAGTCCTATGTGATGGGCCTTTTTGCCATTTGCCCATACATTAAAAGCCTTCATTCTTCTGTTCTTTTTCCTTTTCTCGCAATTATTCTCTTCTACCTCCTCCATTTTTGTTGTCATCCATATCCCCAAGAAAAACTCCGGTGAGGAGGAAGGCGATGCACATGTTTATGGATTTCCATCAATAGAGAGAAGATCTTGAAATAAATGGACATGGATGTGTGGGGATGATAGGATAGTCAGGTGATGGTGCCCAAATTTTGCATCCTCGAGATCTCCTTTTAAACCGCACTCTGCAGGTCGTCGGGAAGGTCCAACTAAGCCGGATTGGAGATTGGTGATTACGAAGCAGTTAACGGAATATAAAGGTAGAGAGAGTTTAGGAGAAGATGAATATTATTGATTTAAAACTTGACCCTCCTTAGGGAAATTACAAGCACTATAATAGGCCCTATTTCCATCAAACCGGAGATCCTTCAAGCCCAATAAGTCCTTTACTATTTAGCTCAACTTTTTGGGGCGGCCCAGCCTTTGCGAAAATGGGTCCCATCATCAGGAAATAAATATGTGATAAAATTCTTGAAATTGAGAAATTTAAATTTTCATCCGAAGACCGTTTTTCTTTCATACGGTAAATATCAATGTTATCAGAACCGGACCGGACATTAAACCGGCGAGGCATTCGGGTCATGGTTGGACCGGTTCAACCGGGGTCAACCCGGGTTTTTTACTTTTTTATTTATTCTATTTATTTTTTAATTTTATATACACATAATTACATCCAAATAAAAATTTAAAACATTAAACAACATATACAAAACTTCACTTCAATCCAAAAAACTACCCATAATAATAATGTATCTCATCAAAATCATCCTCATCACATAATTAAAATTTAAAATATAAAACTAAAACATATAAACTAGTCAATTTACTTAAAAACATAATTTGATATATACGATATTAAATGGTGAAAAAACTACAAGTGTAAATAGAAATTTTAAATTCACATCTAAGCAAAATTTGTTTGAAGAATTGAAATCTAAACAAAATTATTATCACATGATTAAACAAAAGAATTTAAAAATTGCACGATTCATCTACACGAAAGAGGGTACCGGCAGGTTGTGGGGGCAGCGGTGGCTGGCGGCGGCCGGCGATGGCTGGTGGTTTGCGGCGGTGGCTGACGGCTGGAGGATTGGGCGGCGGCTGGGTGCGGGAAAGGCAGAATAGGTACAGACTTGTCAAACAAGTCTGTTCATGTTTAACGTATTGTTTAATTCAATTTTTTTTTTATTTTTTTAAACCTAATAATCAAAACGACGTCGTTTTGATAAAATATTAAAAAAAAAATATATATATATAAAACGCAGCGTTTAGGAATCGAACCCGGGTCGGCGGCCGATTTGCCGGGTCCCGGGTTCCACCCGGTCAGACCGGGTTTCTGGTAGTTGACCCCGGTTTTGAATTTATGTGGGTTTGGGGGTTAGACCGGACCGGTTTTCCGGCGGGTCGCGGTCGAACCGGTCGGACCGGCCGGTCCGGTCCGGTTCTAATAACATTGGTAAATATGCATCAAGCCATACTTGAACTTTAGTACAAAAAAAACAATGTGCAAAAACCGAAAATATTCAGTGCAGTACAGTTTTTTACCCTATCGAACTATTCAGTGCAGTACAGTTTTTTACCGAATAATTCAGTTTTTTCAGTCCAGTACCGGTAAAAACCGAAAATATATTTTCTTATTTTAAAAAAGGTGAAAACATAAACATTTAAGCTAGTTAATTCTTGAATATGGCATTCAAGTTTCAATAATCGGTCCTAAAAACAAAAAAAAATAAACAAAAAAAAAAGTGATTATCAATAAAGGCTAATTTGTAAATAATCGAAAAAATATCAATCTATAAGCATTTTATAATTTGTTAACCTTAGAGGATTTCAAATAAAAGATTTTGTTTTTTAAATAATTATGTATTCGGTACGGGACGGTATAACGGACATCAAAACCGTATACCGTACCGAATACCGGAATTCAAAAGATAAATTACCGAATACCGAACCAAATTTTTGGTTCGGTACGGTTCAGTCAGTTTATTGACCGAGTGAACACCCTGACGTTTTTTCCTGACATAGGGACGATTACAGCTATTCGTGAGTCCAAAAAATACCAATTGAACAGAACACCTAAATTTTGAAACTACTCCACACAAGATCTTTAATACCAAAAATATCACCCGACCTGTACATGGGTAGAATTTGGCAACATGAACGTCAGATATATTAGAAAATATTGACGTCGAAAATTTTCAGAAAATTAAAATAAATCAAAATAAATCCTAAAAATTACTCTAAATTTTCATCTTCCCGCAAGTAAGTATACCAATCAATGGGGAGATAAAGTGAGAAATAAAGAGCATATACGAATATTGTGATTTGTGATTTAGGATCATCAAAGTATAGAATAAAGTGACCCATTTGGTTGGCAAGATAAGATTAGTTAAGATAAGATTAAATAGTCTATGGAAACTCAATTATTTTATTGGAGCTCGGGACGTCCAACGAAAAAAACACACTAGAAGGCAAGATAAGCCACGATAAGACAAAATAAGCTATGATTACATAATTTTGGCGGGTCGTCCCGACAATTTATTGGGATACCAAACATCAAATTAAGTCCAACTATTTAGTTAATCTAACTTATCTTGACAACCAAACTGGGCCTTAGATGATATGGTAGTACAAGAAACATAATATAATTATGCATAGAATACAAGTTCATATTTGGTTATTTATGATAAGGAACAGCAATGAGTGGTGTTTCTTTCCTCATGACAATCCCAAATTTCTCCGACAAGTCAATCGTTTGTCCCTCCGGCAACCCCCACTCGTACGTATGAACGAGTGTAGCCAACAAATACATTACCATCTTCTCAGCCAACGGAATACCAGGGCACACCCTTCTCCCCGACCCGAACGGAAGATACTCAACGTTGTTTCCAATGAAATCAAATTTTTCGGAGTTATGATTCAAAAATCTCTCGGGTCGAAATTGTAAAGGATTCTCCCAAACATGCGGGTCCATATGGATTGACCACATGTTCAAGAAGACCCTTGAGCCCTTTGGGATTGTGTGCTCTCCGATAGTGCAAGATTCACTCGGATACCTTGGAACGAGGAGTGGCAATGGAGGATGTAGGCGGAATGTTTCCTTTACAACCGCTTCGAGATAATGTAGTTTCGATGCGTGGGATTCTTCAACGACGTTGTTTGCTCCTACAACATTTGTTACTTCTTGCTGCACTTTTTGCATTATACTCGGGTTGTGCATAAGCTCGGTCATCACCCACTCGACCATCGTTGCCGTAGTATCACTCCCGCCGGCAACAATATCCTATTATTATCAAAGAGCATATTTTAGTTCATTTCAATGAAAGAGAATCACAAAGAGAGTTATATTTGTCTTGACTATGGATCACAGTGGTTAGCGGTTTTTATTCTTCAAATTTGAACACAAAAACTAATTCTCCTATATATTCAAGAAACAACAGAACTAGGGGCACACGCATAAGCGCATTGAGTATATATATATATATGTGTCTGAGCTTGGATTAATAAGCATTAGAGGTTAGCACGAATTAATCAAACTCGAGTAGTTTGATTTTAAAAAAATTTCCCGACTCAAAAAGATCGAGTTTCAAACATTATCAATAACAAAAGTATATACGTGTTGAAGTTTGCTTCGTTATGTTAACAAATCGAGTCCATACAAGCTTTTACTGAACGGTGTCAAATCTAGCATCAAGTAACATATTAAATCAACAAGAAAATGAAATGAAGGATAAAGTGGAGAAAATTACCATCAAAATTGCTTTGATTTGAGTTAAACCGAAAGTTGAGGTTTCGCCGAGTTGCTTATCCTTGAGCTCCAAAAGAATTCCCACAAAGTCCTTACACCCTTCCATAGCACCACCAGCCGCCATGATCTTCAATTTTGCATCAATAATACAATCCAAAATCCGTTCCACCTCCACTACCACAGCTCTCGTTTCTTTTGCGATTCCCTGAAAATCAAACTTGGCGAGAACCGGAAAAAAATCGGAAACATTAGGCTTTCCAAACAAATCAACCAATTTCGAAATATGAAGCCGAAACTCAACTCCAAGCCTGCTACGCTCCGTGGGGTCCATCTCACCGCCCCAGAGCAAGCTCGTCAGTACGTGGAGCTCCGTCAGGAAAATGAGTTCGCCAATTTGAACCGGACTCCCGATTTTCGTATCGAGATTCCCGATAAGCTTCCGCACTTCATCCGTGCGGAAAACGTTCGACGCCTGGAGGTTGGTGTTGCTCATCATCTCACGAACGAACAGCTTCCGCATGTCGCGCCAGTAGGGACCGTTTGCCGTCCACACGATGTCGTACCCGCCCGTGGCGATTAGGGCCGAAACCGGCGGGTCCCGGTTCGCGAATAACGAGTCATGATCGCGAACTATCTGCTTTATCAATGAAGGCGAACTTACAACGACGTAGAGTTTGCTTCCGAGCCAGAGGCGGTAAATGGGGCCGTACTTGTGAGACAATTGTGTGAACTGGTGGTGTAACTTGTGTTTGAGAAACGGGAGGTATCCGAGAATCGGAAGGCCGTATGGCCCGGGCGGAAGTGGTGGCTTTGTTCGTGTTTTTGAGTTGCCGAGTAGTACTATCCATGAGTAACAAAATAGGGACGCTAGAAGAAAAATGAAGGTGAGAGCAGCAACTCCAAACTCATATTCCATTATGTCTTTTTTTCTTTGTTGCGCCAAATTAGTATTTTTAGTGAAAGGAATATTATTATAACAAAATATGAGAGATATCTTTTTCCACTATCGGCAGCCGCAGGAATTATTATACCAAAATGGGAAAGATTTCTTTTTCCCTGTATTGGATATGAAAGACTAAATATGTGGCTTGGAAAGCAAACGTGAGAAGATAGAAGACGTCCAGAGCAGCAAGTCAAAGGGTTCATTATTATGCTAAATTTAGGGTTCAAACCAGATTCATTATTACACTAACCACTAGATCATTTATGTCTTTTTTTTTTATTATAATTAATAAAAGGGTTAATGAGATATAAGCCCAGAAAAATATTAGGACTAACTACCCCAATTAATTTTAATAAGGCAAATCCCCTCAATTAATTATTTACCATGTGTACCATCATATTTTGTGTTAGAAAAAGACCCCCAATCTTACCAGAAAACAGATACATTTATAGAAGTTAACTATCTTCTAAACCACTGCAATTACTTTGAAAACATTCCAAAATTTTCACTAAACTGAATTAAAGTAAAAAAGACTTAAGTTTCTCTCTCTTCCCAATACACATTAATTTGTTTATGTTTAATAATTAATAAGAACCCACTTCTTGTTCATTGGTAAATGTAATCCATCTTTAGTCTGGAAGGAGGTGTGGTTGAGTTTTCATATAACTGGTGTCGCCATAAAATTCTTATCAAGAAATTTGAAAATATCTCATAAATTCTTATGAGAGAAACAGTCTGTATATCTTTGGATTCGATAATATCTTTGATGGGGCCACCGGAGACTGCCAGATATAGTGGTGGTGCAAGAAATGACGACGTAAGAGTAAATTTGATAAAACCTTCGATCTGTGAAAATTTATGTCCATTTTTACTTTAATTCAATTTAGTGATAAGAAGAGTTATAATTAGCAAAATGGGTTCTTTGAGAAAAACCATCACTATTTTTTTTTAATGGACGGAGGCCCAAAATATTTTAGTACATTTGAGAAAAGTTCACATTCATTTTCATTCATTATGTTTTCCAGCATTACCCCCGCCCGCAACATCATCACTGGGTCACGCGCTCAACAAATTTTTATTTTTTGTTCCGGTTTTTTTTTCCGTTTTTTCTGTATCAGTTTCTTTAATGGACTATGAAGCATAGTCGATTAACCTTAATCGACTATGCTTCATAGTCGATTAAGGAAATTATTTATTTTTTTAATTTTTTTTTTGTTTTTTAATTTTTTTTCTATATCATGTATATTAATCGACTATGATGTGAAACATAGTCGATTAAGAATCTGCTACTAAAAATAATAAATCACAACTGCGAAAAAAATATAAAATCAATTATGTATTACAAAAACAAAAAATATACAAATATTATAAATGATTTATACAATTGGAATAAATAAACATAAAGTTCAAAAAAAAAAAAAAATTGGAGTCGATCAACCTTAATCAACTGCCAGAGCATAGTCGATTAGCTTAATCGACTATGAACATGTACATAGTCGATTAAGATTTCAGCATGCGCGAAATTCTCTACCGGCGCCGTCCTCCGCCCGATCCACCAAAAAACCTTAAATCTGCCTCCCATCGTCACCACACCGCCGCCACAACACACCATCATCACCTTACTTTGACATTATGACGTTTTTTTATTACAAATAAATAAATAAAATCACAACTCGCACCACCAACCAAAGTATAGAACCACCACCCATCATAATCAGATTCCGGCGACAAATCGACAATCTTATCTCCATTCAACTCCAATGTAGCATTCCTGGCATTTGAATTCAAAATTGCTATCAGAATCATTTATAATGTTTGATGGGTGCTTCATCTTCTTTCTTTCTCCATCTCCTGGCGACGGCGGCGGCGACGACAGTGGCGGAGAAGTCACGGAGAAAATAGAGGGAAAAAAACAAAGAAGAGAAAAGAGAGAAGAAGAGAGACGTTGGAGCGTGAAAACGGCGGATGAAAAAATAAAAAATAAGATTAGGGTTTTAAAAGAGTATAATAGACAATTAAGGGTAATTTTGGAATTATGAAAAAATCACATGAGTTGAATATTAGTTAAAGGGATTTTTCTAATTATTTTTTGGATGAGGTGTTTTCTTAACTCATTTTCCTAGATGAGGGGTTCTTGCTAATTACCCCTTAGCAAAAAGGCTTCTAAGAGGGGTACTTAATTAGAAAAAAAAATTCCAACTCTTTTGTCTTTTAAATATTTCCATCTCATTCAATCTTATTTGCAAATAAAAAAAAGCCCTTTTACATATACCAAAATTACCATCAATTGATTGAAACTCAATTCAACTCCAATTTCATAATTTACACCTTAATTTAGCCAATTTCACCAATTAACCAATTTATCTATATCTATCTACTTATTATAAAAGGATGAAGGATGAATATAGGTATTTGTTACTTCCATGTTTTCTTCTTACGGGGCAACAAAGTCATATTGGTTAATTTTATCAATTTTAATTGGGATGATTATAAATAAGCCCATCAATGGGTACTTATTTATAAAGAGATTCAGACAAAAATTTTCTTTATCAATAAGTCGACACATAGTCCAGATTTTTGTAAATGACTAAAATAACACCTCATACTTTAATATGCTCCAATTTCATCCTTAACTTAATTTAACCTCAATTTGACCCCAAATTTCACAAATTATTCAATTTTTACTCAAAACTTTTTTTTTTTCAAAAAAAGAAATTTCAGAAAAAAAATTTCTCCGCCGAATTCCGGCGTTAACTTTTCAAAACTTTATTATCTTCCGGATTTTTTCGCCGGTTTCCGGCGTTGACTTTTTCGATTTTTTTTTCTGTTCTTTCTTTCTGTAACTTTTTTTTTTCGTTTAAACAACAATATTGTTGTGACAGTAATTTTAATTATATTACTGTTAAACACAGTAAAATTAACTAAATCACAGTTTAACACAGTAATATTGCTATATTAATCTCTAACACAGTAATATTAACACAACAAAATTCATTATTATTGTGTAATAGAGTAATATAACTATGTTGACCGTTCAACAAATGTAAACATAATAAAAATCCAAAAGAATTAATATTACTGTGAGTGACAGTAATATTACTATAACAACAGTCATATTACCGTCAACCACAGTAATATTGCAATAATAGACAGTAATATTATTACGTTACTCCGTGAATAACTCAAACAAACAAAAAATCCAAACAAAATAATAATATTGATGTGGTTGACAGCAATATTACTGTAACAACAGTAATATTACCGTCAACCACAGTAATATTATTGTAGCACCCCCTCTATTATAGGCGATAAATTGAACCGGTTTATCGGAATTAAGTTACTTAGCGGAAGCGACTTATAGGATCAATACGAAAAATCAACACTTGCGATTTCAAAACCATACTTGAATATTTAGAATTCTAGTAATTTTCGCAACATTGTTTTGAAAAGCTTGAGTCGATTATAAATTTTTTTTTTTTTTTTTGGTTTTAGAAGGAGTTTATTCGAGTGCTACACTATCATAAACGGTTCGAGATTAAAATCAGATTTTAGAAATATTTTGGCGACGGACGATTAAAGCACGAAAAATACGAACCATTCATAAACATAAACGGATTAATATATTATAGAGTTCAAAATAGGATCCGTTACCGATTAAAGTTCCGTACTTTAAAAATGAGTACGATAGTAAACGAAAATGGAAGTTACTTTATATTACATCACCAAAATAGTACTTAGCCACACTTATAGAACCCTCGTTCGAACTTCCAAAAACTCCGGGCAAGACTTCCATCCACTACTCGGTCCATTCCTGGGGAGGGTTACCACTAGCACTACCTGCAATTAGAAAATATCTATATGAGCTATTAAGCTCAGTAAGAAACTCGAGGAATTACCGAGGGTTGAAAATAGGTTATACATATATATAGTATATATAACATTCCGATCACCTTCACCGAGTCATACAAACATCAAACAAGAATCGAGTCAAAACATACTAAAACATATAAGTCACAAACATGCTCATGAATGCAATCCGTGTAAAAATCATTTGTTTCATTTATCGGATCCGTGAAAGATTAATTTCTATATTCGGATAATAAACCGTTTCGAGCCCGTCTATGGATCCAATATCACTCATATCACTCCTCTCAACCCTAGTTGGATACCGGCCCACCGTATCCGATTCGTTTATTACCCAAACATTCTATTAATCTTTCAATTTTGTCAAAAGCAAATGCATGTCATGGAATGACTATAAATTATGTAAAAGACATTTAGCCATCACAAATATCAATCAAGTGAGTAACAACCCCAAAATCAAATAAAATTACCAACTACTTAATTACACAATTAACCAACACATATATCCTCACCCCACACACACAGTACACATACACACACGTACACACACATCACACCTGCATATTTATGCCATGCAACCATATAAACATGCATAATAAATATATAGCACAATCATGCCTTTAAAGTAAAGACACTTTTATTCCCTCATTTAATTTGTTTCTCACCACTTACACTCATTAATTTCACCTCAATAAATTCCAGCAACCTCATAAACATGTCTCTGCCATAAATCCATGTTCATAACTTCATGTTTTATAATTTAAATCACACAATTCCAAGACATAGCACTTAAAGCACATAAAACTTCATAATTAACACTTAGACCTTTAAAATTCGAAATAATAGTAAAAGATCTTTAAAAATTCTCACATTTAATCCTAAGACTTCTAATTATATAAATTTCGAGATTCTGAAATTATTTCAAATTTTCACAAAGTTTCGATTTTTTTTGAAATTAAAAACTAGAAAATCTCCTTTTTCTCTAAAAAATCTAAGACTCTAATATAACTTTAATTATTTTGAAAACTTTGTAAATAAAACTTTTTTCCTATTCAATACTTGCTGGAAAACAGATTCAAACTTAGGAAATGAGAGATTTTTCAGAAATTGCAGTTTTGACCCCAAAGTTTCAAGATTTACACATGCAATCACACTAGAAGTTCAAACTCTACTTTTTCATAAAAAAC